ATGCCCCAGTTTCCAGTTCACGGACTGAGAGATCTCCAAGTCAACTGCAGCTCCTGGAAGATTCAGCCGGTGGTTAGTCAATCCTGAATGCTGTTAAGGAGCACTGCACTGATGAAATTGTATAAATGGGTCTCCAACCAATTGTCATTGACAATTCTGTGGCACTTTTCACAACAGTTACTGTTAATCCCTAAATAATGGCCACATTCTAATCTAGATAATTACACTGTGCCCTCCACAGAACCAAAGTGCATGATCAAAGCAGTCACTTTGAGGGACCTGCCAGTAATTTGCTAAAGACCTGGACTGTCGCAAGGGATGGGGATTCCACCACCATTTTCCTTCGAAGAGTTAACAAACTGCAGGGCCTATCTTCATTACAACATACAGATGACCGGGCTTGGCCTGGGTACACAGCTAGGGGGCATCTACATGGTTATTTCTGTAGCATAAACACATACTCGAGGTGGCAAAAAGTCATGATCCAAATTAGAACTGGGTGAAAACACAGGCATTTGTGCCCTGCTCTCTTATGAAAAGTGACTCGGGATCTACAATGCCCATAGGTGGTTGGGACTTCATGCTGAAAAGGAGATGCTCAATCAAAAAGAGAACAACTTGTCTGCACCTGAGAGATCCTATGCACTCACTGAAATCATCATCAGCTGCTGGCACTTATCACCTCAGCAAGCTATGCTACCCTTGTGTAGAGAGATGCCTTCCAGGGGAAGAGAAGGAAGGTAGAAGTGTCATGAGAGTGAAGAATGTGTAGACAGGTTGGGCAGACAACTGGGTGCTGCTGCTGTAGGAAGCCTGTGAGCTGTCTGAACCCTACTAACCTCACTAAAGAAAAGGAACATTTCAAAGATACATTTGAACCTGATGGGTCTTGGTGTGCATATATCATGCTTCAGTTTCAGGACACTGCAAATGAAACATGACAAGAGGACATAGAAGATAGCAAATTTATAATCCAAATGCTGCACTGATTTGCCTTGGTCTGAACTGGGGTACAAGAAAGCAGCTCACCCATTTGGCATATTAGTTCAGCATACAATTAATATGTACCATTTTAAATTTAGAAATCAAGTATGCTCTTTTTCCAACCCTTTTTGTTATTTGTTAGGGCTAGTATGTCTGGCAACACATACAGGCTACAGTACAACATACTACAGTACAGCTCAGATATACTCATATTGCAGGTTTTTTTCTTTATACTATGCACAGAGAACTAGCAAGCTGGAAAATGCAAGCTTCAAGAAGAATATTTATATGCATGCTTTACAAAGAGTTGTGAGCAAACTCACTTATCCTTTCCCAAACTGATCATTGTGTTTTTCTTTGTAGGTAGGTTTAAAAAAAAAAAAAAAAAAAAAAAGAGCGAGAGAGCGCACATGTGTTGCTCTACAATAGAGGATTCCTCATGCAACACCCTGAAATGTGGTGATGCCTTTTTCTAGTCTAGTAATATATAGCACAAATTGAGCCAAAATCTACCCTTGCACAACATTAGTGTATTTCAGATAACAAAAAACTATGATTTGGCATATGAAAAAGCATGTACTTAAGTCCATATTTGAATTTCATTCTAATTTTTCCCCCTTGTGTGATGTGATACGAAACTGTGATATACTTGTCAACATTCTTCAGAATGCAGCTATAAATAGCAGGTGCTGACTTGAGAACTCAACCTCAGCTGATGTTTCTTTGATAATGCTAATGAAATGTCCCACTTCTGCAGCAACACAAAAACATCCATGAAACCAAAACCTGCTTTTAAAAAAACCCAAAGCCACATATTTTTATGGGAATTATTCTTGAGTCTGTTCTCATGACCAAAAAACAGACTTTTATCCAGTGACAGCTTCAAAATGAGGTGATCTAAGCAGCTACTGAAAATTAAAGGGCATTAAAATTATTTATCCTGAAATGCTTAATGTTGAAAGATGGAAAATGTCAGTATTGGTACACTTAAAGCTATCCTGGAAGAATTGTTAACTATATGGTGCTTTTCTGGGATCATCCTCTAAGTTACCACTTTATTCTAACGATAATTTATATTAGTATAGTCCAAAGAAGATTGTTGGAAAGATGTTGGCAAAATGCTTTCAATTCAGAAAGTTTTTCCCTTAACTTTTTTGCAGATGCTTCAATCTCGTTTCTGTTAATAAACAGCACTTCTCATTCTAACATCAGTTCAAATGGCTTCCTCTTAATTAAACATTTTCCTCTGCCCTGTAAACTGCTTCCTACAAGTCAAGGACCACCCAAAGAGCAATCTGTGAGTTAAAAGATTTCCTTTCTAGTTTCAGCAATTGAAAAAGCTGAGATTCTCATCCTAGATGGATGTATCATATTTAATAAATCTGCCATTATACAAAAATTATATATTAATATTAGCCTTTTAAAAACATTTTGTAAGCCACCTCAAATATTTTAAATAGAAAGGCAGGGTAAAGTATTTTAAATAAATAAAATAAATAAATAAAAAGCACTCTCTACCATCCTTATCATCTAAGATAATCTACCATATAATTATACGACATGTATCCCTCTGGGATCTCTGTGCCCCTCCACCCTCACACATATGCACTCACATTTTCTAACAATGAACTCCAAACAAATTTAATTGCCAGATCAGCCTTTAAACATCTCTAATATCGAGGCTAAGTTTTCTATCACAAACTATAGCAACTTGTAGGAAGCTCCTAAATATAAACAGATTGACTCCCCTCATCTGAGGACAGGCAGCAGGAGAAAGCATTGAAACCACAGAGGGATAGGCATTTGATTTTGTGCAAAGTTCTGTCAGTGACTGAATGGCAATGACTATTGGAGGTTAATATTTTAAGAATATTAAGAAACCTGTGCAATTATCTGGCAGGGCCTCCCTTCTGAGGCTGGTATTTTATACAAGGGAAAATTTAGGATGAAAAGCAGGTATGGGAGGAGAGGACTTGTTTTTACGTGTAGGTCACAGTGCTTTAGGAGCATAATAGGCACTATAAATATCACAGGTAAAGCCCACGTTACATTGGAGTTTGGAAATACTAAAACTACATCCTTTTTCTTTTCTATTTTACATGCTCATTCAGCAGATCATTTTGTACTTTAAAGAAATACAGAGAACTCTGCTCTGTACTTGTGTCTCTACTTATTCTGGGAGCTCCATCTGCAAAGAGGAAGATCTCGATCTCCCTTTTCCTAACTTATCTTTCAGTCTTGCCAACAACAGTTGATTACTGAACCCCAAGCTAAAATGGTTTTGAAAACAATTTTTTAACATTGTTTCTCTAGTAAGGGAAACCCCACTACCAACTGGGGAGAAGGCTCACATGCACTAAACTTTAGGAGCCAAAGATCAAATGGTGTTTGGGCCGACCTTCAGTACAAAAACCATACCAATGGCCACTGTCTTCAACAAGGCAGTTCCGAGTGGGCACAGGAGTCTACCTGTGTGGATCCAGTTGCATGATGTAGCATAATGTGGTTGAATCAGCACAAAGCATGTCCACAACCACATGGTTTCTAACCATACTGGCATAACATGTAAAGGCCTGACTGGAGAATAGGGTCGTGGCAGGGTTGGTAGGCCATAACTGGATACAACACATTACCGACTTATTGTTGGGACTGCCGGAAAGGATCTGTGTAATATAATTAGCTGGTCCTCCTACCCTCTGAATGGAAGGGCAGTCTGAAGTGCATTGCATCCAATGTCATAGACAGTACTCTTTAATCATGTCCTAGTATCTTGTATGCTCACTGCACTAGTCATTCTATCCAGTTCTATGAAATGTCTCATATAATCTGGCCCCTTGTATATGTACGGGAATTCTTAAAAACTTCTGGCACCCTGGACTTTGCCAGGCCAACTCCATGATCGAGAATCAGTTATCCACCCTGGCCTGCTGATCACAAGAGTAGTCAGATGGGCAAGGAGGGGAGAGTTGGAGCATTACACAACAGACAGCCAATAGCTAAATTAGCTCTGTGGACCCAGATGGATTCTGGGATTGGAATGCAGTGTAGCCATCAAGAGGGAAATGAAATCATGAAAAACACCCATAATCCTCTAGTCTGGCAGCAGTATTTGAAGCAGTGTGGGAACAATGCTCAGATTTTCCTAGAGTGCACTGATACAAACACAATCATGTGAAGTGGTGGATGTGGACAACATCTGATGCTTAATTGTGCTGAGGGAGGGGGGGAGAAAATGCTTGTGTGGATGTGCTGAGTCATGTTAGATGTGGGTCTCAGACCCAGTTTTTTGTTTGTAGCATAGATGGCATTGAGGGGGAATGAACACAGTCCTGCAGAACTGTTGCAATGCAGAATAACAGCAGCCCAGGGCTGGATTTGGGCCCTGTGTACAGAGCTATAAATGACAAATCACTCACAGCCAGGGGATACAGCTCATCGTACTTATGCCCCAGATAACACAGAACGCTTTCACCTAATCTGCTCCCTCTTTGTTGTGACCTTGATTTATATTCAGCAGCAGCAGCAGTAGGATAGGCTGAGCTTTATTCAGAGGAGGCTTCTGTTTTTCAGCAGCTATCAGTCTACAGCTCTCCAATTTCCCATTAATATAGGCACCCTGATAAGTGCAAATGTCTGCGTGTCAACATTGTGGGCCTGATCTTTTGCTGGTGTTGCACTGACTTCAGCAAAGCAATGCTGATTTACAATTCTAGTTTACATCAATTCAGCATCTGGCAAGGTATCTTGAACATGTAAAAGGCTGATATTTTTATATCTGTTCCTAGACATATAACTGGTCGAGGAATGATGGTCTCACCTCCCCCCGTAATAAATATTATACCAGGTAGTTTGTCTGCCTCCTGCAGGCTGTGGGCACATTTGACAGTCAGCAGCAAAGAAACAGAGTGATTATCGTTACATTTGTTAAGTGATTCCCAGCAGCCTGCGTGGAATTATTTGTCTGAATGGAAAAAGCACAGCTTAGATCAAGAAAGTAAATGAAATGCAGAGCTCACCGATAAATGATGCCTTTCTCATGGAGAAACATGAGGGCTGAAATAATTTCTGCAGCATAGAAGCGGGCTCGAACTTCGTCAAAGCGACGGGACTTCTGAATATGGAACATCAAGTCCCCACCATTCACAAACTCCATGACGAAGAACAAGCGATCCTTTACAGACACACAAACACAACATGGACATTAAGCGTTAATCAGCATATCTTGTCCCATGCAGAGATTACTTAAATTCAAAACTATTCTCTCCAAAACAAAATCAGAAAAAACACTAAGAAATGCTGAAAAATGTGATCTTTCCAGAGAGGTTACGTCAAAAACGATAAGATCTAAAAGAAATACCCCTTATTGCTCAACAATGAAATATGTCCATTTGTTCTGTACATGTGAGCACATGCATATTTATGAAAAGAATCCCAGAGAACTTTACAGATAATTATAACCTTTCTCCAGGTTTTTACTAATCACTCCAATCTGGTTTAATAAAAGAATTATATCGCTTGTGTAGAACTTTATGGATGGTTCAAAAATTTATAAAACCATCTCAATCTGTATTAGTTACTGAAGCTTCTTAAACTTGTATTAGCATGTCTATAAACCACCTACTAATTTTATCTCTGACTATAGTCTATAGAGATTTGACACACTTATGTGTATACATGATGTGGTGAAAGTACATATTGTAAAATTTGCAATTCTAGGACTTTAGTTCTCCCTTTATTCAGGAAATAGGTGTAGACAGTCAATTCAAGATGTAAAGACATGAGATCTGTGAGCATAACTATGCCACGTTTGCCCAGATTGCTTGAAGGCCGTAGTTTTACCATTTAAAAGCAAATATAACAACAACAGTAATGATGTTACATCTAGACTATCCCTAGAATCTGCTTCAGAGAATTTTTATTGCTTACAAAGCTATAATTTTATGGATATTCTAGAATGGAAACAGTCTTTAAAATTGTGAAGTGTCAACCTTTCATAATATTGTTAATCTATACACTTCTGTTGCATGTGGGAACTGATGAAGTCTGACTACACAGTAAAGTTTCTGCTGTGTGAAACTGCAATACAGGCAGTCCCCGAGTTACGCGGATCCGACTTATGGCGGATCCGCAGTTACGAACGGGGCACTTCCTCTCCCTGGTCTCCAGCAGACCAGGGAGAGGAAGCAAAGCAGCGGAACGCGCGGCCAGCTGACAGCCCAGACGCGTCTGAGCTGTCAGCTGGCCGCGTGCTCCGCTCTGCTCCCCCCCCCCCCCCGCCATGGGGCTCCAAGCCACGCCGCAGGGCTCCTGATCCTTCCACCCCCCACCCTGATGTGGAGCTCCTGGCCATGCTGTGGGGGTCCCAGCCACACCACTGGCCTCACATCGGGGCAAAGGAGCAACCCCCCCGGGAG